ACTATCCCCCCAGGAATATGTGAACATGATTTCAGCTAGTACACAGGCTTACATTAGAAGGTATGAGCCTTTCAATTTTCATTCAGTCTTTCAAATGACTTCGATAGGACAAAGTCTCCGGTGGGTGCTATTACATTTACCCACCCTCTAAAATTTGTAAGTCTTGAAACCTTCTTTTGAGAGAATAGGCCCCCGATTCAACAATTTCCCTAAGCAACAGTGTCTAGCTCAACAGTCATCAAATCTTTATAAAATCTTGATTATAATTTATAAAGTTTTATTGGAACACAGACACATCCATTCATTTCTAGATCATCTTTGGCTACAGTGGCAGAGTGGAATGGTTCTAACTGTGACCAGCGGCATGGTTCACAGAACCTAAAATGTTTACTCTGTGGCCTGCTACAGAAAAAGTTCAAGGAGCCGTGTCTAGTTTAATCACATTTTTTTTTTTAGCATTTACATCCTTAAATTCTAAGTCATACCAGTTTGCTTCTTCTTTTTTTTTTAACTGCCAGAGACAATAATTGATTGAAGTTTTAAAAAATCATTTTTATGAAACACTAACAAAATAAGACAATATTACCAAATTAATTTACTAGTGTTCTAGAATAAATAATAGAAGTCTACTGCAGCTGTAGCCACATCGTGGGGGTGGATAACCTTTGCACTACTAAAGTATGGAAGGTAGAGAGATTTGAGGATGAGAAAGGTGAACAGTCAGTTTGTTAGAGGAAAGGGATTGGAAGGACCAGATGGGGTCTGGGAACAGGATTTCATGAGAATGGGGGATTTGTACCCATCCAAGAATGGAGAGAGGCCTCTGAATATCCTAATGGACTTAGTCAGGGTGACGTGGAGGGAAGCCAGGGGCCAGGAGTTATAGCCACTTGAAGCCATGGGGAGGAAAATAATTGTTCAAGAAGGTCAAGGATAGATCCTTCCACCTGGGTTTTTCCCTTCCAGAAGCATCATGATAGAAAGAATGCAAAGATACCCATTACCATGACAACAGTGTTACTTGTCCCTGTTTGTAGTACGCAGGTTCTAAGCCCTTTATACTTATGAGCTCATTTACTCTTCACAAGAACTCTACAAAATCAGGATTTCCTTCACAATGAGGAAATTGAGGCACAGAAAGGGTAAGTAACTTGTGCAAAGTCACACCATCTGTGAGTAGCACTCTACTAAGCTCTGCACCGTGGAAAGGCAGAAGGGTCTATCAGACAGGACAGCATGGCTACCTCCACCCAGTGTCTGAGCCCTGCCACCCAACCCAGGAGGTGACTGAGCCTTGGTCATTCTGCAGAGTCAGGTCTGGGAACTGTGACTCTGGGTCAGCTGAATGCCTGATGGGCTCAATCCTGTCTCAACTTCAGCCTGCTTTTTAAGAGCCAGGTCATGGAGAGGCTGTCATCCTGTGACATCACAGGGAGAGGACAGATGACGATGATTTTGCCAAGGGAGGGACAAGGAAGGGATCGATTGCCAACGAGAGGCAGAGCTGTGAGGCAACAGCAGGACAAACTTCTCTGAGCCACAGGGGTGGAAGCAGCCCCAACAGCCAGAAGAACCCTCAACAACAGAGGGAAAGTGACCAAATCTGGGTCAGAGGCCAGGGGCGGGGGTCCAGCTGCACCCAACACACCATGTTCATGGTTCAGAAAGCAAACTTTCAGGGCAGCATAACAGATGCCTGCTCTCTCTTATTTCCCTGTTTTGTTTTGTTTTTGTTTTTGTTTTCTTTTTCTACTGCATTTATCACCACCTGAAACTGCATCATTCATGTATGATTTAAATCTTTATTTTTTTATTAGAGCTTTATAGTTATGCATTGTAGTTGGGTCTTCCCCCATTGGAGCATTAGCTCTGTGGTGTTGGATTCTATATTTGATCTTGCTGTCTGCTGCTCAACACATAGTAGGCACTCAGTAATATCTGTGTCATTTGAATTCCACTTCAGTTCAAGCTTCTACGTGTGCAGGGGGTCACTCGGGGTTATCCACTCGTGGGAGATGAGCTCCTGGGCTTGGTGGTGGGAGGGACAGCCTGTCAGACAGTGGGCAGAGCAAGACTTGCCTTCTTGGCCTCTCTCCCGATGCTGCAAAGGCAACCAGTGGAATCTCGGTGTCCCAAGGGCTGAAGCATCCTTCCTGGTGCCTGGTGGCATAGTGGGTCTGACTTTTCCCTTAGGCATATCTCAGAAGGCTCAGTGTGAGGTTTTTAAATGTTCTAGCTATACCACAGCTAGAAATCAAAGAGGGTCCAAGCAAACAAATGAACAAGTCTGTCAGTTACTTTAATAGGTTAAAGGCTGAATTATGTACCCTAAATCCACATGTTGAAGTCCAAACCCCCAGTTTTTCAGAGAGTGGTCATATTTGGAAATAGAGCCTGCACAGATTCAGTTAGTTAAGAGGAGGTCATGAAAAGCATCCTAGCAATCCTTTTTCTGATCCTAAAAAGCAGGCTGAAATCGAGACAGGGTTGAGCCCATCAGGCATTCAGTTGACCCAGAGTCACAGTTCCCAGACCTGACTCTGCGTAATGACCAAGGCTCAGTCACCTCCTGGGTGGCAGGGCTCTGGTAAGGTTGGTAAGCTCCTAGTTCAATAAGACCAGTGTCTGTATAAAAGAGAGAACTTCAGACACAGCTCTGGGCACAGGGAGAGCACAAGGTGAAATTGAAGACAGGGTCAGGGTGAGGCCTCTTCAAACCAAGGATTGCTAGAGAGAAGCACCAGCAGCTAGGAGAGCGGGGGAAACAGCTTCTACCTCAAAGCCCCCAGAAGAACCAACCCTGCCGACAGCACCTTGATCTGACTTCCAGCCTCCAGAACTGTGGTCCAACACATCTGGTATGCAAGCCACCAAATTCAAGGTACTTTGTCACAGCAAGCCTGGGAAAGCAACAGAGCTATCTCCAACAGTGGATCCTGACAGTCTTGGCAAGTCCTAGAGGATCGCAGTGGAAAGAGGGCGTTGGCGTCCTTTCTGAAAGGAGCCCAGCAAGCCGCTCCTCGCCAGGTCAGGTGAATGTGTTCTTGCTGATGAGCTGCCCTGGTCTAGGCCGACCTCCACCCCAGGTGCTCTCTATTCCCACACATCGGGTGCCTCTTCCTACAGAGTCTCCTCTCCCACTTCCTCTTTCCAGCCTGTTCCACTGCCAGGGCTCCAGTTCACACACACACATCTGGCTTTTCATCAAACATCCCAGTTGCTCTCTTCCAGCTGTGCAAATATTAGACTGCCTGGACACACGGGGCAGATCACTGCAAGAAGCAGGAGCAAGAAATCTACAGGGCAGGACGACGGGAGGCTGCTCACCGCCTGGCCAGCGTGCTTGGAGCCATGGTTAATGACAGGCAAGAATGGCCACAGGTTACCAGTGAGCAAGAGTACAAAGCAACCCAACTTCTGTAACGAAGGCAACAGAGATTTCTGGTCCGGGAGGATGGATTCCAAGGAATGATGCTAATGGGCTTTGAATAATGAGGTAGTAAGTGATTTCCATTTTGTTCCTTGGGCTTATCCGTCATAGTTTTTCAGCTGGAAATGTGTGTGGGTGGGTGTGTGTGTGAGAGAGAGAAAGAGAAAGAATAGTACAGTTGAATCCTCTAAAACTGTGGATTACAAGTATCTACATCTGTTGGGAACAGGTGCAGATGTTTTTCTCGTCATAATTCCCTAAACAATATGGTGTAATAACTATTTACATGGCATTTACGTTGTATTAGGTAGCATGAGTAATCTAGGGGTGATTTAAAGCCTACAGGAGGTGTAATTCCAGTGACTTAGGAGGATAAGGCAGAAGGATTGCCGGTTTGAGACCCACTTGGGGAATTTAGCCAGACCCTGTCTCAAAAAGTTCTGTGACGTAGCTCTGTGGTACAGCGCCCCCTAGGTTCAAACCTGGGTACTGCAAGAGAAAGAAGAGAAAGGGAGAGGGAGGGAGGGAGGAAGGAAGGGAGGGTGGGAGGAAGAAAAAAAAGAGGGAATCAAGTAAGCAGGAGAGGGTGCATAGGTTATATACAAACACGATGCCATTCATTACAAGGTTCTTGAGTGTTTTATGGAGTCTGATATCCATAAGGATCCTGAAACCAATCACTCCCTGGATACCGAGGGATAATGCTGGCCCTAAAACATTTGAGGAGATCCAAAACCCCAACATTTCCTGGGATGTTCTGCATCTATGTTGAGTGTGGCTGGCCTGAAGAGGCAGGCAGGGCAGGGGGAGGGAGGCTGAAGCAGGAGGATAGAAATTTTGAGGCTAGCCTCAGCAACTTGGAGGGACCCTGTCTTAAAATCAAAAAATAAAAAGCACTAGAGATGTATCTCAGTGGTAAGTGCCCCTGGATTCAATCCCCAGTGTAAAAAAAAAAAAAAAAAGTCAAGGATATATCGCTCAACCAGGATGACTAAAGAATTTTTCACTATACGTAAGTTTTAGTGCAAAACTTGTTTTTCTCCAGACTAGACACAGTAGGAATTATTTCCTTCACTTATCTGGAGAAACTGGGGCCCAGAAATCTTAGTCACCTTGTTTGAGGCCCTGGTCTGAATCAGGGACAGAGAGGTGTCCATCTGTGTAGCAAAGCCACGGGGGGCCAAGAGCTGCCATGCATCTTGGTCATGTGATGTCCACTCTGCACACCTGTGAGTGGCGGCAGTGATAAGATCTCTTCGTTTTGTAGATCACCCCTCCTCGGGGCTGCTTGTGGTGTCTTCGAGGGCATAGAGATGAAGGTCCTCCTTTCCCTACGGGGAGGGCAGAAGGCACAGATGGAAAAAGACTCCACTCTATCACATCAGATGAAGCCACTGAGTCTCAGAAACAGGACATTCAAAGGCTCTCTGGCTTCCACATCAGAGAATAAACCACGGGACATTCCCTCCTCCTCCAGGGCTGCAGGACTCCTGACCTTGCAAATCCATCCAAGGCACTGGACTCCTCTACCATGTCACCTGATTGGTCCCAGTGATGACCAGCCCAGTGAACAGTCATGTCAGACTGTTTGAGGTTGGCATCATTCCTGAACCATGAAACGGTTAAGAAATATCCTGTCCCACTGGCTGCCGGACTCATAAAGGTGGACCCACGTGTACTTCCTTGTGGCTCCAAGACGCAGCCCAAGCCTGCTCACTCATTTGCTCCCGCCCAGAGGGAGAGAAGGCAGCAGCAGCGGGAGGCAGGGCTGCCACCCTCCCATGCAAATCACCCCAGGGAGTATAGCTGGATTCCTCCTGCTCCTCCCCGGGCAATGCTCCTGGGCAGGCCCTGTGGGAGATGCCATCCGGGGCGCTGTGTGTTTATCCTGGTCATTGCCCTCCTGTGTGACGCCGCGGGCCTGGTGGTTTTACTTCTGGGGATCTTTGCCACGCTCAACTACTGGGACTTCTTAGTCTACACGGGGGCCCTGATCCTGGCTCTCAGCCTGCTCTTCTGGATCGCCTGGTATTCCTTCAACATCGAGGTGCCTCTGGAGAAGCTAGACTTGTAGTTTGGCCGAGGCAGAGGAGGAGGGATGCAGGAGCCACATGAAGCTGTCAACCTGGGGCCATCTGGCAGTGATGTGTTACAGCTCCTACCCAGCAGGCAGGCCCCCACCGGGACCAGGTGAGTGCATGCAAGACCTGCCTGGCAGGGTGGCCAGGGAGACTCAGAGGAGCAGGGACAGGCCAGGACTAAGTAGACAAACAGCTGGGCCATGCACCCCGACTGTAAACGTGGGCCCACGGCTGTGCTGGGGTGAACTAGCCAGCAGAATGGGGAGCAGGTGTGTTTCTCCTCTAGGGATTGTTTTCCTCCAAGAGTCTGGAAAGAGGCCCTTGATGGCCCCTTCCACCTCTGATATCCCACAGAGGATCCCAACCTGCCATGCAGAAATAGGAGTTTTCCCTTCAGCTTGGAACTTGAGAGGAGAATCCTTTGTAGGAAAAAAAGCCTCCAGCACCAGGAGAGGATGGAAAGTTCCGGAATGGCTGCTTATGCCCTTACATGCACAGAGGGGGCGTGAACCGGGCTGTGTGGGAGGAAGCAGAGCAGAACCATCCAGAATGGCCCTTCTCACTTTCTTCCTCCCTGCACCTGCCCAGATGGGACACCCAAGAGGGGGTCGGGATCTGCCTCCAAGTGCACGTGACACCTGCTCCTTCCTCAGCAGTGTCCCCATCCCACTCTCTTCATAGACAGCCCACGCAGGTGACAAATGTGCCCAGACCAGCCACAGAACACCTGAAATCAACAGACCACAGCATCATGGAATTCCTCAACCCAGCTGTACGTCACAGCCAGGCAGGGAGCTCGGTGGAGAGCATGAAGTCAGAGAGGCAGCTACGGATGAGATTTTTCACATGGAGATAGAGTCCAGAAGACCATGCCGGTCTGGCCCTTCCGATTCTGAATCAAAATAGGCAGCTTTTTCCCAGGGCATAGAAACCGGAGCCGTGGGCGAGTGGATCTCACCATACCCTCCTCCCCAGGTGCCGTGGAACCCTGCATTCAGGAATAGTTGGGCACTCCCTTTTGATTAGGAGATGTAGGGGCAAAGGTCATTGCTGATTTGAAAGAAGGAAATAATGGATGTATCTCTTATAGAAGATTATATCTAACCCCCAGAACTTAGAGAGGAAAAAAAAAAACCCAGCAAATTGAGGGAGTCTTTGAGGCGTACTTGGCCTCCGTGGAGTAAACTGGTAGATGATACTGATGGTGAGATGTTCGAATACCAAGGGCTCTCTCTGAGCTTCTGCACTTCTTAGCTGGGTGACCTTGGACAGGTTGCACAGCACTCTGAGCCTCATTGTTCCTAACTGTAAAATGAGGATGCTCTTCCTCACCTTCGTTAAGAGAACCCAAAAGAGGTAAGGCAGGAAAAGACCCTTTGCCAATGTTGTGGCTCTCCCAGATGTCCTGTGTTGTTACTAAACGTGTGATCTGGGGTAAGTAAACTGACCCAGACTCCTAATGTGGAATACTTCGTTGTTGTCCCTCAAGTCGGGTAATGGTGGGTGGGGTCAGCTCGCATTTTGCATTATGGAAATTCTAAGGAAGGAGCACCCCCCCACACCCCGCCCAGGTTTGTTTGATGGTTCCTTGGGAATGGATGAGGCATCGAGGGATGATGTGAAGAATAAGACTCAGGACATTTCTATTCTCAGGAAATCTGCTGTCCAGTGAGAAAGACAGACATTAGCCAGAGAGTCACACTAACAGGAGTACAATCACAAAGTCAGATGAGGACCAGGAAGGGGAAGAGCATCATGCCACGCATGAGAACCTCCAACAGAGGAAACCAATCTAGCTGGGTAGAATCACAGAGGGCTTCTTGCAGGAGGTGATATGAGGCTGAATCCCAAACCCAAAGTAGGAGTTGATTGGAAAGTCATTCCAGGAGAGGAGATGACTTGGGCCTAGGTCCTGGAGGAGCAGGAAATACAAGAGAGGAGGTAAACAGAAGGACAGAGGGCAAGCGCGAGAGAGGGTTACGGCCCTGAGTAGGCAAGAGGCCAGGCCTGGCAGGGCCTTGAAAGCCCCCTTGAGGATGTTGATCATGACTTTAAGGATAATAAAAAGCCACTGAAGGGAAGAAAGCAAGGGTGAGGCTGGACATAACTGGATCTGCATTCCCAAAAGATCAGCTGGCCACAGCGCAGAGAGCAATGAGAGTTAGTATTACCATTCTGGACGCCAAGGCACAAGCTCAGTGTGAGGCCCTTTGCCACCCACATCCTTCCTTCATCCAAAGGAAGTTCCACAGCCCAGAGGTGAGGACTATGGGCCAAGTTCCAGACCATCTGGTTTTGGGGTCTACTTTAGCTACTTCCTGGCTGTGCAACTTGGAGCCAGTTACTTCACCTCTCCAAGCCCCAGTTTCCGAGCCTATAAGACGGAGATGGTGCAATTAATAATAACCCTACTGCATACAGATGTTGCTCAGATTGAGTGGATTAGTATCTGTTCAACACCATGCAAGTGATGGCTGAGTAAAAAGCAAAGGATAGTCCATTAAGCCTCGATCCCAAAGCAGGAAGCTGGCACAGTCCAAAGGGTGAGCCCTGTCATTGAGGTACACACCCCTGGAGCACTCTGATCAATTCCTAGGGCAGTGTATGGTGTTCACATTTTTTCGGAAGGTATGAGAGTGGATGCAGCCCCAGAATGCCAGGTTTTTGCACATGCTCAGTGGGTCTTTGGAAATTGGAAGGTCCATTACATAATGCATCGAGTAGTCATGCAAATAGCATTTTCACCTTTTCCGTCCCCAAACTCCACATTCAGGAGACCCTCAGAGTCAGTCAGCCCCCATCCCCATCTAGCCTCCCCCTTCCCTTCCATTGCCTGCATTGTCTTAGGACTGGCCCAGAGGGATGGGTTAGGGTGGGCTGGGATTGGTATTCAGCAGGCTGCTCACTTATGGAACTGCACACCCTCCACACGCTGGGACTTTGGGCAGTCATTTTACTTCCCTTTACAATGAGAGATCTATCTTCATGGGACGGAGATTTTAAACTGTGCTGCCCAGACACCCCCATTGGGAGGGTGATCGAAGGATAGGGTGAGAGAGCAGGAACCCAGCTGCCCCACCCACACCACACCACACCACACAGTGAATTTCACCCAGAATGGCTGGGTTCTTGGGTCATTTTACCCATTAAACTTGCATGCAAGACTTCATGCAAACAACAACAACAAAAAAAATCTGATGTCAAAAACTATTTCCCAAAACAAACAGTCTCAGTTCTCTTACATTCTCTGACCTTTGGCCTGGATATATAATCACTAACCATATTCATGATTAATAGGTAGATCACAACTGGCCTTGCCAGTTCTCTGATTCTCAGAGTGGGGTAAAAGGGAAGCATGTGGACTCCTGAATTCAAAGCCCAGCGCCACTGTTCCTCCAGATGAGGTTGATAGGGCCTGTCCCCAGAGAAAAAAAGAAAAAAAGGTCCTCTTCCTGGTCAGGTATGGGATAGAGCAGGGGCCTGGCTTGTAATTTTGCAAGTTCTCCAGGGACAAGAGAACAGCCCACCCACTAAACCTCAGAGGCTGCGGGTTTAAACCCCATAAGTTTCTGGATGAGGGGTTCGTTTTTATAGTTCACTGTGTACCAAGCGAGACACTCTGCCCTTTGATTTTTATCATTCAGTCTCTGCGTATTCAGAACTGTCGGCTCCATTTTCTACTTCTTGGGCACTTCTCCTAGATAAAGATAAATGTCCAGGCAAAATCCTGTGAGGACTCTGTCATTTTATAACACAGTGTCCAAAAGTATGTACCCCCACAAACATGCACCCCTATATACACACCTATCTCTCTATTGCCCCTATAGGCACACATCCCACACAATCAACAACAACACACACACACACACACACAACTCCTCCTTCACTTTGCAAACACATAAACACCTTATGGGCACACACACACGCGTTCCTCCCAACTGCACGCACATGTTCATGCACACACCAACACGTCTCCCTCCGCCCGCTCATACAAACCCAATCACATATCCTCCACACCCACAGCCACCCTGCATGCACACTCACACCCTCTCACACCTGCCCCACAAACACACACCCAGAAACACACACTCAAAGGAACAAGCACACCCTCTCTCAACCAACTGAAGCCAGAGTGCATGCTAGAAGCACAGCCCCCAGTGCCAGAAAGTGAAACTTGTTCCTCCACAGTGACTTTTTTCAAGAGGCAGACTCTTCTCTCAGCCCTTGGAGGAGGCCAGGGAGCTGCCAAGTCTGCTCAAAGGTGAGCTGAGTAAAAGTGCCCCCGCATCTGCTCAGCAAACCCACACGCTGGCCAGACACGGGTGCTGCGGCTGTGTGGATTGCCCTAGTGTTTTCAAATCTCTCCAGGGATTTTGAATCTAAAGGAGGAGATGATACAGGTTTACAATACTTCACAAAAGTGAAGCATGGGGAAATTCATCCCAGGAGAGAAACACAGCCCTGCAGGGGGCTCTGAAATCTAGGATGACACGCTTAGCCTCCTGGCTGGAAGCTGGGTGGGGAGGTGGGTGGCGTGTCTGGCCACAGTGGTTTCAGATGCTGGCCTGGCTCCTGAGGAGTCGAAGAGAATGTGGCAGGTAGAGACCCCCGGGGGAGGTTGTCCAGGCAAAAGAAAGTCTGCAGAGACCAAAGAATTAGAGAGTCTAAGAAAGGCTCAGCAGACACATTGGGGCTTGGGGTCTTCATTGCTGACCAGGCAGGACTGGGAAGGCCAGGCAGGGGTTCTGGACACTTAGCCAGGATGGTGGAGTATTGCATGACATTATAGATGGGAAAATGACATGCCCCTGCTGTGCTAGAGGAAGTGCTTGGCAGAATGGGTTAAGGAGGAGAAACTCTGAGTTAGGGGAAACATTCAGAGAGCCAGATGATGGATAATACGGGCTCCAGCTGCAACGATGGCCAGGAGAGGACGGGAGGAGGGCAGAGACAGGCTGAGGGAGTGGGTCGGTCCTGTTGTCTTCAAGTGGGGAGGTGGGACCAAAGACTTCAGAAAGTATTCTGCCCGTGGAATAGGAAAGGTCAGGAGAAGGCATGTTTGGTTAAGATGGTACAGTTGAGTTTGAGATGCAAATGGTGTACATGAGCAGAACTATACCCAGTTGGCATTGGATGTGCAGACTTTTTAGCTCAGAGGAGAGATCAGACATGGAGATGGAGAT